GAAACGTTTTCACCACCAGGTTCGTCAGCGTACAATGCAACCGACGTGACCCCAACGCCGCAGCGAAAGAAACTGTTGACCTTCGGGTATAACTCTCCCCCGCCAGAGGTTACTGGAACGTACGGCGAACTCCGAGTTCAGTCCATTACTACTGAATAACACTAAACTGTAGAAATTCCCGGAAACTGACATCCACCATCAACTGCGCAAGACGAGTTGCACGCCAAGATTTGAAACGCGGACCTCCCCAAACAGGATCGACTGACGCCAGGGTAATTCAATCGGCACCTAAAATAAAAAAGGGGATCAGATTATGTCACGATCAAAGCCAGACTTGTCTAGTATTTTTTGACGTTGGGAGATAATTTTGAACGTTTGCCTCCAGGATGAAAACAAATTCCGAAACTGGATTTTGAAGTCTTCATCACCAATTTCACCTTTCGGGATTACTATTCAGTACCAGAGATTTCTGAAGGACAGAGCGGGCGAACTGTGCCATTCATTGATGGTCTTTAATTCAGAACCAATGGCACCGAGAGACTCACGATAAAAATAATTTTTTGGATAAAATGAACTTGTCATATATAGAGTCTTTAAGATTGCCGACGTAGTTAGACTCCATAAGTGCCATTAATAAAAGTTAGTCTAAAAAACCCTCCCTATCTCGACCTTTCGCGACACGGATTCACTGGTGGATTTTAATTCAGGCACTACGTGACACCACGGGAGACTCCAAATAAATAAGAAAAAACCATTACCGCATTGTACTTGAAAATTATAAATCTCAGTAATTCTGAAGAGTGTACAAGTCTGACGCTTTCACGTAAAATAGTTCAATGTATTCAAAAAGGTCGGTTTTCCGAACCAGAAAATTTTCAGCTTGTCCGACTGGACATCATCGGCGCAATCGCCCTATCAGCATAGGGCTTTCGTCCGGGTGCAGGAGAAAATCCCGTGGGAGAAAAATCCCGCGTCCCGAAAATCCCATGAGGCCGATAATCCCGTAGGCCGAAAAATCTCGGGGGGTCCGAAAATCCCGTAAGTACGAAAATCCCGTATACTACAAAATTGTGATATTATCTCTGAGTTTTCCTTCCAACTGCGTTTACTCTTCTGTGGCCTTTGGGTGGAATCTTGTTAAGTTTAATGGCTTGTTGAATTTAAAAAAAAATTTATGCTTTATCATGCGCTGTACATGGAAATTGAAATTTGACAAGTGAAATACACTTATATAACTGCATTTAGACTTACTTGATGATTCATAAATTATTTACAGACCATCACCTCTATACTTCTATAGTTTCCTCGAAAGCAGGTACTGCCTGTAGTCATCCACCTTCTAAGAGGTGGTTTACGGTTTGGCTCCGCCAAGAGGACGGCTTTAGCTCTATGCCTGGTCCTAAGCTTGGTCCGTTCACCGGCATTCAGAACAACAACCGTGACCAATATGCCGACATGCCGCGCCCTCGGCGGCGAAGATTCAAAGTCACCTTCAGGCATATATCGACCGCCATCTGAGGCGGAGCTTAGCAGCACAAATGCCAAACCGAGTCAGGTTCTCCTGCCGAAATCGAGATACGAACCAGGATTCCAATCAGGGTTCGCCGGCGTCCAGAACAGCAACCGTGACCACTAGGCCGTGCCCTCGGCGGCGAAGATTCAACTTCACCTCCAGGTATATACAGTATTGACCGCCATCCGAGGCGGAGCTTAGCGAGACACTAGAGCGAACCCCGAGGTCAGTACTGTGCACTGAACCGTAGTTATTCCAAGACTGACATCTAACGTCAACTGCTTGCAAGCCCCGATTTGAATACGCACCTTCCTCAGGATGTTAATTTTTTTCTTTATTCGTTCGGGACCTAAAATAAAATCGGAGATTAGATTATGTCCAAGCAAAAACCAGGAAGGAAGATCTTTTCAAATTTTAAACGCCGAAGAGAATTTTAAAAGAATTCGTTAGATATGAAGATATCAAAGGAGCTTTCGTCCATGACGGACATCAGTAGGTGGAAGATTCTCCACCAAATGCCAAACCGAGGCGGTTCTCCTGCCGAAATCGAGATACGGACCAGGATTCGAACCAGGATTCGAACCAGGGTTCACCGGCATTCAGAACAACAACCGTGACCAATATGCCGACATGCCGCGCCCTCGGCGGCGAAGATTCAACGTCACTTTCAGGCATATATCGACCGCCATCTGAGGCGGAGCTTAGCAGCACAAATGCCAAACCGAGTCAGGTTCTCCTGCCGAAATCGAGATACGGACCAGGATTCGAATCAGGGTTCGCCGGCGTCCAGAACAGCAACCGTGACCACTAGGCCGTGCCCTCGGCGACGAAGATTCAACTTCACCTCCAGGTATATATTGACCGCCATCCGAGGCGGAGCTTAGCGAGACACTAGACTACTAGAGCGAACCCCGAGGTCAGTACTGTGCACTGAACCGTAGTTATTCCAAGACTGACATCTAACGTCAACTGCTTGCAAGCCCCGATTTGAATACGCACCTTCCTCAGGAAGTTAATTTTTTTCTTTATTCGTTCGGGACCTAAAATAAAATCGGAGATTAGATTATGTCCAAGCAAAAACCAGGAAGGAAGATCTTTTCAAATTTTAAACGCCGAAGAGAATTTTAAAAGAATTCGTTCGTGACTAGTAAATAAAAACTAGTTCTCGTACTGTATATAAATTCAAGGACTTATTCGCGCTACCGAGTGATAATTCACGTATGCAGAACACCACGATTCTTCTTGTTTTTTCTGACGGACACAGCGGGTATAGCTGCATCGACTGTAGATGGATGAATGTCTCCTAGTGATTCTATGAAATGGCTAAACGATATTCATCCCCGTATTCTATTTGCCGTACAAGAAAATTGATCGAGAAAACCATTGCAATCGAGGGATCATGTCACAGAACGATTAATTCCTTCCCGAAATACAGTATTCCCTATGAAAATTTCAGAGAAATCTCCCTGGATAGAAATCTCTTATCTGTTCCACCTTTCAACATTTTCTTCTCAGACGGAATCCATCCAGCTGTTTTAGTCTCGTCCAGTATCGTAAAACGGGCAAAAACTTCCGGGTTAAGGAGATTCGTTGAACCCAGAAGTGATGATACTGCATGATTCAGCTCACATTCTCAAAAAACAAATTTTTAAAACGCTTTCAACACCGAAAGTTCATTGAACAAGCACCAGCAAATCTTAATTCGACTGATCCTTTCGTGCTCAAGTTTTCCCCATAATATGAAGCAATTCACAATTTCGGGAGTAAATTTCATTCTGTTGACAGAACTGGAAAATTCTAGCACAAATGGGAAATCATGCAATGCGAAATAAATGAAGAGACATTCGGATACAGAGAAACAGTATATTGAAGCACGGGAAAAACGTTGAGATGATTGAATTCCCTTCAATATCGGACAGAGTATGTTAGACAGAATTTGCTCAACTCCCCATAAAAACCCGAAGAAAACAACTGTTGGCAATTGCCAGCAAAGATATGAGGGGTAAACCGTAAACGGAAGGAGAGCAATTTTCAGGGCAATTTCATGCAAAACAAGTCATCTCGTCTCTATAGACACGTAATGCCCAACACTTGGTGTCCTTCTGGACCAATTGCCTCGTAAACCTGCACTCCCCGTTTTTATAGCCTCGTTTTACAAATGGAACAGGAGTGTATATTAAGCTGATTTCCAATTTATTTTTTGCCGAAACAGACATGCTCCCACATGCCCATTTTTGTGAGTTGCCTGTTTTTATCTGAAGCAATTCCGCGACAGAGAGAAATTGTACGAAAAAAAAATCCCCTGCGAACACCTACCGACAAAAACTAGAACATCTGGAGAACACGTGTTGTATTTGAGGGGGAAAATGCGACAACAACACCATAACCCCCAACCCAACTAGCTGAATGACTGCGTACTGTATATAAACGCAGAAGGACGGCCGAGACTTGGAAAAATGATCCTCAACCTCTTTCTAAATACACTACACTTACTTGTCACAGCAACACGTCAGCTCAATTACCAATAGCCTTTTCACCCGATTTCCCTCCCACTTGAAGAAATACAACGAAGTACAGGTTTTAAAAGTTCCTCATCACACATCGTGTCCGTCAACATTCTTTACCTAATATGAAGGAGACTGGATTATTTTGATGTAGATCTTTCAGCAGAATAAAATATTCTCCCTCGCGGACGTCACATTCACTATTCCAACTACTTTATCTGGGTAAAATTGAAAAAAAATTATCTTCGGGGGAAACGGCACAGCAAAAAGAACGATGGAAAAAGGGTCGCAAATAATACCTGTACGCATGAACGCATTCTCATCAAAGAAGCAACAATAACGGGCCTCAAAAACGTCATCAATCTACGAAAAAATCATGGATTAAATAAAAATGAGCTTATGAACCCTTGACGGATTGATGATCTATTTTCGGCTCTGATCTGGGTTACGCCCAAACAAAGGTGAACACCCTAAAATAGGGTGCTGAAACACCCTAAGACGTATTAGTCTTTGCATCTTTGCCCAAGACAGCTGCAAGAGTTCATGCATGTCTTGGGTTTCCCCCATGAGCAAAATCGAGGAGATCGTGACAGGTATATCACTAATGCAGCAATCTTTAATATATCCTCTATTCAAGCGCTGGAAACCGTCTGGTGAGGTTCCTGATTGCCAGGCAAGAAGTGGACAAGAACATGGTTGGTCAGCTCAGTAAGATGAAATTGGAGAAGCTCGACACTTATTACAACTTTAAGTAGCATTACCCTTCCACGGAACTCGGAACCCAGAGAACATATCGACATCAACAATGCTCATGACGAATATGATCATTCAAGTGACATCAATGATAATGCAATTCACAAAGCCGCCATGAGTCCTGAGCAGATGATAATGCCGTCTAGCTCTAGCCTGACATTTAATCCGCAAAATTTATGGTGATTTAGATAAGAGGATCTAAAAGCATGCACAGCCTACGCACCTTCAGAATGTTCTCATCGTTGTTGCCACTGTTCTTCATTCTTGGAGTCCATGCAGAAGACACTGTTGACGTTTTCAATGCTGAAAGAACGCTGGACGACTGGAACAATCTCCTTCTGAACAAAGATTTTGTCTTTGTCAATTTTTATGCCGATTGGTGTCGCTTCAGCAAGCTGCTGGCTCCACAATGGCAGCGCGCAGCAAGTATAATAGCCGATGACTCAGCCCTGTCGCCTAAAGTACAATTCGCTCGAGTAGACTGCGATTCGAGTCCAATGGATGAATTGTGCAAATACTACAACGTGCACAAGTTCCTCTATTCAAGCGCTGGAAACCGTCTGGTGAGGTTCCTGATTGCCAGGCAAGAAGTGGACAAGAACATGGTTGGTCAGCTCAGTAAGATGAAATTGGAGAAGCTCGACACTTATTACAACTTTAAGCAGCATTACCCTTCCACGGAACTCGGAACCCAGAGAACATGTCGACATCAACAATGCTCATGACGAATATGATCATTCTAGTGACATCAATGATAATGAAATTCACAAAGCCGCCATGAGTCCTGAGCAGATGATAATGCCGTCTAGCTATTAGCTGACATTTAATCCGAAAAAATTTATGGTGATTTAGATAAGAGCATCGAAAAACCATGCACAGCCTACGCACCTTCAAAATGTTCTCATCGTTGTTGCCACTGTTCTTCATTCTTGGAGTCTCTGCAGATGACTCGGTTGACGTTTTCAATGCTGAAAGAACGTTGGACGACTGGAACAATCTCCTTCTGAACAAAGATTTTGTCTTTGTCAATTTTTATGCCGATTGGTGCCGCTTCAGCAAGTTGCTGGCTCCTCAATGGCAGCGCGCAGCAAGTATAATAGCCGATGACTCAGCCCTGTCGCCTAAAGTACAATTCGCTCGAGTAGACTGCGATTCGAGTCCAATGGATGAATTGTGCAAATACTACAACGTGCACAAGTATCCCACGGTGACCTTGATAAAACATGGTATACGGGGAAGAGGTTCAGAATACCGAGGATCTAGAAGTGCTGAGGGACTCGTGGATTTCCTCAAGGCACAAGCAAGGGATACAGTTTCAGTTGTGACATCGTCCGATTTGTCGCACAGCTTACAGCCACGAGATGTCGTCCCTGGAACGGGAGAAAAGTAAGAGCACGTGTTCAAATGAGTCATATTTCTGTGACTAGACTTCTGCAGATGAACTAAGAAGGTTCCTCGAATTTCGCTTCAGTGAATCCTTCTTGATAACAAAAAACGTTCTTCATCGCTAAGGTACCCAGAAAACAGCGCAAGGGACGAAATTGCGCCAGCAGCTCACATATTTTTCCCCAAGTAATTCATAAGAAAAAATCAGTTGTGTAAGCTAAGAAATCAAGTCTGCAGCAACATAAATTCCTGAGTAAGAACAAAGAAGTACTGTATCACACTGTTAAGGAAATCATGTATCTTGAAAATGTCATACAGTATATCCAAGAATATAATTAAACAGGAAGGAATCGCTTCGAAATAACTATCGTAAGCTGGGCAATTAAAAGAATAAAAGGTTTCCCCTGAATTGTGATTCAAGTTTATGCCATGGTTATGGAACATTCCTTGGAAAAATGGAAACAATAATTTCCTTAAATCTTCGGATCCTCAGCTTAAATTTGTTTCGTAAATTGTATCAACAGAATACATATTTCTGATGGTAATACTGTACTGTATATATTTTAATTCTATGCTCCACCAGAATATTTTACGTTTGTTTACTGTAATCCCTCTGAAAAGAGTGACGCCGTTTCATGAGGTCATCACTCATCACTAAAGAATTATACTCGTACGGGACAAGTTGGTCGATTTAAGTTAGCTTCGTTCTATTCAAGGCTAGTTCACGGATTTGGGAGCCATGTCAGGTGGTGGACTCTGTTTTGCTTCGTGAAAAATTAGATCGGCTGATTTTACATGGAGCGGCGAAGTTGGTGGTGACTTGTGAGTCATCATTCATGCAACAGCGACACAGCTAAGAAAAAAATACACACACACACATTTGTAGAAACAGGGTTGGAGCAATTTTGTTGAGGGATTGTGAGATGAAGTATTAAAAGTGCATTCTACCACGTTACTATGCTTTTGTTTCCATATCAACAAACGCAAATCTACCCAATGCCTGATGAGGCCTGAAAAAACTTGAGACCGATCTTCTCACTACCCCTTTTGAATCGCTGTTCAATATTTAAAGGTACGAAAAACCAGTCATCATTTTTGCTAAAGTCCCAGAAGGCCACGAAGAAAATGTGGATCTTCTAAGGAAAGTCAGCACGCATTTTTTGGACACTGAGTGCAATTTTCACGTCAACGTGGTCCCAGGAGAATTCGAAACCAGTGTAATTAGCTTTGATGCAGTCTCTGGGAATGAAAAATCTTTTCCTGGCCAAATGCAAAACTTTCTGGAGCTTTTGCAATGGGCCAGGTCCCAATGCGTCCCATTGGTCAGAGAACTCATGTTTGAAAATGCTGAAGCACTGACAGAAGAAGGTTTACCTTTTCTGGTTTTGTTCCGGGACCCTGACGATGAGGCAAGCTTGCAAATTTTTCGCGACATCATCAATGACGAACTTTTGGGAGAGCAGGACAAAGTCAACTTCCTATATGCTGACGGGTATGAAAATTCTTTCCTCTCTTTGCCTCGGACCCCTCTTCTGCTCGTTGAAAGAGTCCTGCGGGGCAAATAAAAATAATAATAATTTTGGTAATGAGATCCTTCAAGGGTCATCTAAAATTTAATCCACTGAACTGCAAGAGACACATTCTTCTTCGACCACTTTCAACGGATGAGTAGAATTACATTTTGCATCCTTCCAGTCCATCACAAAGAGGGTTGAGTCAGGTAGTATTCGATACCGTTAGGAAATGAATTTGGCTCGACATTAGATTTTAGGTCAGGTAGGTTTCAGTTCTACTCGTGCCTGTAAAGAAACGCAACAAATATAAGGAATGAAATTTCCGAAGTTCCTCAAATGAATGCCAGATGCATGAATCTTGCTTGGCTCCTCTGTAGAAAGCTGTCGTGGTCACGTCTCGTACAAGCGACATTCATTATCATAAAATCAGTCCCAGCAAACTCACAAAATTTCCCAGGCTGTTACGCTACACATTTAGCTCTGAATGTTGTACATAATAAATGCTATGATTTTGGCAATGAACTTACATCTCATGTCTTAATATAATCATATTTTTCAGATTCGTTTTCGAACACCCTTTGAAGCACTTGGGAAAAACTTCGCAGGACTTTCCAGTGATTGCATTGGATGATTTCAACCACATATTCGGCCTTCCAACTGATGCAAACTTTGAAGACCCAGGGGTACTGAAAGCATTTATTCAAGATCTTCATTCTGGGAAATTGCACAAAGATTTCCATAGCGGGGAACCCCTAGCCATATTAGAGTCAGTTTTTCAGAGATTAGTACCATCTAGCAGACGGTACTCTGTTCTCACGAAAGATGAACTTTGAGTCAATTGAAGAATTTCCTTCTTTTCAAGCAGAGTGTCTTTCATAGAATCTGCAGGATAAACGCTGTAGTCTTACAAAACTGTAAGGCTTACTTTGCTTCACAATTGTATATTGACTTCAGATGGAAGTCTGTTGTTCTTGAACTTATTGACGCAATGCATTTTGTCCATGCTATATATTTATGGAACTGCATCCCTTACAGAAAACAGACATTTAGCCAAATGAACATGCAATCATTACACATATGCTCCTGTTCCAGACTATAATAGTATTTTTTGTGTGTGTCTCCAGTATTCGAAATCTCATCATTCAGGTTACACTTGTTCGAGTTATTGATACTTTCGCGAATGCAGATTTACTTAGAAGCTCACGCAACCCAGCTGACAAACAAATTAAATTAGGAATGCTGCGCTGAACCAAAAATCCTAAAAGACCTTCACGAACAAACCGTAATATATACAATACACAGTTGAGTAACTTGCACCGCACATTATCGTCACGTCAATTTCGAAATTTCTGTAGGCATTTCAGGCCGTTTTTCAAGGGTTAAATTCAAAACAAAGTTATGTAAACCGTAGACTTCTCATCGTGGACTGCTGGGAAGTTTTTCGTCGATCGCATCCGTGATTCGACAGCTCACGTATCAATTGGAACAAGTGGATGTATAGGAAAAAGAACTTAATTTCAGTTAACTTTACTTCGCTCAAAGGCATTTTAAACGAAGAGAAAAAGCTATACAGCGAGTATTGTACGCGGTGGAAGTACATACCGACTTGAACCACTCTCCCCGATGAATTGAAGGTATCCGAACAGACGGATACTCCGCAAAATATTTGGAATTTGATGTCATTCACGACAACTCGGCCTGGACCCTGGACCCTACAACGAAATAAATTGGAAAGCATAAGCAGAAAAGCATTCAAACAGATTAACAGAATGGTCCGGGACATAAAGCCGCTTCACTTTCTCTTCTGATACTTGAGCGGACTGGTCAGGAAGAATCATTTGCGTAATTGACTTCATGCTCAATGGATAGGAATACGGCACGCATGCTGAAGTTAATCCACCAAGTCTTCCAACTTGGATGCTCGATGTAGCTTCAATACATCATATCACGAACTGAACACCATGATTCCTAAATCACACGTCAAATAAGGAATGCTGCTTGCAGATCAATAACTCAATGCAAGATTGCCCTTCCGTATATACTTTGAATTCACTTTCACCGCAACAAAATTGAAACCTCATAATCTAGATGGACTAAGCTTGGAAGCCAGGTGATTACTGAACTCACGTACTCCATTTTGAAAGTCTCATATCATAAGTTCTTCGACACATATCCATCAATCTGTAAAATCACAACGGAAAGCTCTGTACAAGATTTGCACTGAACGACACCATCTCGTGAAAAGTTGCCACGTGAAAGGTGATGACGTTGACGCTGAGCGGAATGATCTAGAACTGCGAACGTATTTTGACTTGGGTGACTTGAACTGAAATGCCGTGGTTGGCTGCAGGCAGGGATTAATGTTACCCGCGAGTCTGACCAATACCAACTCAAGAAGTTTGTGGAGTGACATCTACAGTAACTTGGTGAGGAATCCGAACAAGTGGCACCATGCTATCAGAATTCTCTACAGTATGCTCAATATTGTACAATGCCATATAGGCACATATTGCAATGTTGAAAACCATATTGTTGTTCAGACCAGCTTGTTCCAATGTGCCAATCAGGAAAAATTTCGCCCATTCATTTTGATTACGCATTATACAGTAATAGCAGCACACACAGCATTATGCAGTATTTGCCTGTACAATATATCTCATAATCAATTTGAACGAGAATGTAAGGAAAAATGTAGGGCCTGACTACTCCTAACATCTGTGAAGTGCCAACGGCCTCTGCACAAGGTTAGCAGATTCATGAAGATTTGCGATATTGTGGACCATATTTGTTTCCTCAGTGCATCAAAACCGCCAAGAATACCAGGATCCTAACCTGGTATTCTTAAAAATTGAGAAGAATATTTTTTTAATCGATTTTGAAGCAGGAACAAATCCAAAGCGTCTTTATTAAAATTTGACACACAACTTGAATCCAAAGTATAATCTTGTTACGATGATGGCAGTATGCGTGGGAATTTTAAAAAGCTTGGCCATAAACCAACACCTGTGAAATCAGATTTAAAATTATTTTGTGGCTACTGTGTATGGGCCCCCAAGCACGGACCAAAAAACGAATTCATCATAGAAGGATATCCATTGTAACGAGATTCACTTGCACTTCGGTACATTCTGGAATCATTTCAGCTCCTCCATTCTTGTGTAACGCATGATTAAAAATAGTCAGACTTCGTCGGAGTGCTGAAGACAGACTGCTGCACTAAAGACCAGGGTAAATGCTGCAGGGCGATCTTTCGTTCAAAATTCAGGTGAAATGGAAATCCTTTGGATTTTAAATTTGGGGATCCAAGGATTTAGCGTTCTACAAATCCAGCGTTGTGAATAACTGCTGTATGATAAGTTGCATAAAGAACATGGAATCGGTCCGTTCTCCGAATGTATCAGCCAATTCAGATCATTGCAAAATGTCTTGAATATGTTTTAAACATTTTATTATTGCGACGTTCCCAATTTTTATTCAGACAAACATCACTGGCGTTTGTCCATGATCACTAAATTAACTTCAGCGGCATATTATAACACAAAAGTTCCAAAATATTGGATAACAACTAATAAAAAACGAAAATAATTTTAGTAGTGAAACCGTTCGCAAATTTCAGGCATTTTGGAGGTCCTAATTTGTGAAAAGACACAATAAACCGCCACAAGATACATTTTGACGATATGGAATCGCAGAAAACTAAGTTCGGGTTTTGACTGCCAATTCTGCAATGTCAATCAGCTAGTTGTGAAAAAGAAAACAATATGCTGGTACAGTACTCTGTTTTAATGAAAACTGAAGCCAAAACGTAAAAAAATTTTGAAAAATGTTCCCCAAAAAGTCTTCTAACTTGAGAAATGATTGTAGCTGGGATCCACTTATTTCAGTACTTTATCATTGGATATACCCTCAACTCTAATCCTTGCATGCTCATGAAAAAGCATAAGTGAACTTCTAAAAACAAATTGTGACGAAAATAATCACGATGTTGAATATTGATTCTGCGTCTAAGGACAATTTTCAAAAATCGGGTACCTAATTAAAACTCATTCCTATACTATATTAGTTGATCAAGGTAATATGCAACAGAAAAACGCGTTGCCAAGCTAAAAAAAAGTTTTTATTTCAATATCTTAAACTCTGCAAAAAAGCAAATTAAAAAAGGAACATACGCGTACAGATGCTCATTTTCTAAAATCCTGATGCACAATAATAAAAAAGCTTCGAAACCAAATCAAATCTGAATAGAAGCATCGTCTTGGAATGTGAAGCGAATAAGAATCATTCCAAAAGTCTCACTTAATACAGTGAAAATGGCCTTCTTGATTAAAACAGCAACAAAAATTCCACACGATCTGCAATAGTGGAATAAAGAAAAGAATTTGCCTCAGCGCAAAAAATGCATGACAAAGAAGCCATTGCTGGTAAAAGTACTCGAAAAAAATTAAATAATGACCAGACGCGTTAAAGCGGATTATTTCATCTCTGTTTTCATGACAGGATCTGAAAATATAGTAGATCCTTTCCGAGTGTTGAATTGATCTTGTTTCTCCGTCTTTAAATCTGGTATGTCTGCAATTGCTTTTGGGCTAAAAATAAAATAAAATAAAAAATCCTACAGCAAATAAATCGCACCTTAAAGATGCTCTACCATGAAGGTAATTTCTCAGGCCACTGACAAATCTTAAATCTATCAAATTCAACTGCGAAAAGAACCAAAGCTTTTAATTTCGGCAATAGCGAACTTTTCTGCATATGCAGAAAAATGCTTCACGCAATGCTGGCTAGTTTTGCTGCTGATCTTCGTCCTGATCGTCATGGGCGTCTACAATGCAGCCAATTATTTCTGCGTAATCAGATTTCTCATCGAATTTGATTTTGTTCACGATTTTTTTCTTGGGCGGAACTTCCGGTTTCCTAGCGTTGGCGGAGTGTTCTGCTCTCAGATTTCCGAATTCGAGTTTTGCATAAATCAGGTCATCGTGTGATTGAGGACCCACATGTTGGCCTGGTTTCCCTGGTTTGGGCACTGAAAGTAAAATTAAATAATGAAAATTTGCGTTTTTCCAAATTAAAAAAAAATAAAACCATTCATGAAATCTGACACCAGCGATAGGAGTTGGATACCCAAGAAATTTTGAATTCCCGTCATTTCCGATGCACAAATATTGTAAATGGGGCAACTGTGCTGTTTGATTTAATTCCTTGGAAAGTTTCGGTTCGATTCCAGTTTGCTTTTCTAGCATATAGGCAAGTTATTGACTTCACACGAATCAGTTTTTTCTGGTTACTCTCCGTAATAATAATTCTGTGTTCAGAGAAATGCAATAAAAAATTTTGAACGTACTACTTGAATTTTGTTCGTGCATGCATGCAATTTGAACTTTTTTCAAGTTTTTGGGCGACAGACTTCAAAAAAATATTTTCATTGTTTTGTCCAAGGGGGAAATTGAGAAGTGTCAATGAATAATTAACTTTCTGAATTTGATGCACAGCAGTTGCTTTTTTTAAAAAAAAGGAAATTCGATTGCTCATATTGCGCAATTTTCAAGAAAATAAACTATAATTCATATACTCAACAAAAAACTCAAAAATGTCTTCATTAAAAAAAATAAACCGCAAAAAATGTTTGCAGTCCAACCTTCTCGTCATATTTGGAGCTTGTCTTACCTGCTGGAAGCATGCGACCAGGTCTGGAATAATATTCATCCAATCTCAGTGGTGTTGAAGGTGATTTGTCTCCGTCTACTATTGCTTGTCTTGGTGAACTTCTTTGGTCTTGCCTTACAGCAGGAATATTTAGAGGCATTGTCTTTGAAGCGGTGTCCTTTCTTGGCACCTCGGGCAGTGCCCTTGTCACAATAATGTTTGGGCTAACTCTTCCAGGTTGCATGATGTTGAGCTCAGTTCCAAGATCATTCCGAGAGTTTGCTGGCAGTACACCTTGCTCACCTCTTCTTGAGTCTCCTATAGAAGCAGTATACAGCAATGGAATTGAGAAAATAACTACAATGCAAGCATTTACAAGTAAAAAAAATGCATGCTTGTTTCCAATCCATTTCATGATAAGTGGTTAATTTTGTAAGAATGCAGAAACCAAAAATTGAAGTTGTGATATTAAAGTCTTTCAGGCCTGCAAACAGTGGAATATTGTCATATAATCTCAAGATTACTTCTTCTATAATTGAATATACAGTATATATGGTCAAGCCTAATTTGATTATCCAGACCAGCAGTGCCCAACTCAAAAGTGGCCAAGGGCCACATTAAAAAGTAAGCCTTCTCTGTGAGCCACAATGGTAAAAATAAATTAACTCCTCTGCAGTTTTCAAAATTTTAGACTCCTTGGAATTAAAAAAATTTAACAAGTCCCTTAATTTTTTCAACAAGCTTGGCAATTTCTCAGAGTAATTTATCTTGCCCAAGTCTTCGTGTTTGGACTTGCCAGCAAAGATTGTATTCCTGAGAAACAGAAACTTTCTCATGACAAACAAGACAAAGCATTTGGCCATTGAAGATTACGCAGAAATATTTGCTTCTCCATTCTTCATTGAACACTCTGCATTAATTGATCATTTTTGTGTGTCACTGCTTTCAGCCATTTTTCTAAATTGAAACTGAAGCTCAAGCAATTTCTTTGGAATTGTCCGCAGGCCAGTTTGAAGGCCTCCATGGGCCAGATCTGGTCCGCGGGCTGTACCTCTGGAAACCCCTGATTTAGCCCATGAACTTTCCATGCATCATCCTTAGTTGCAACTAATATTTCCCCCCAAAATAAATTTTTCCAACCTTGAAGGGATAAGCCTGACAAAACATTGTCAAAGCACACTTTGTCACCCTGTATTGTAATACCATGACTGTAACACTGAATTAGTCAAATAATACTGCGAGTTTCTTTTCAATAAGCATTTTGCTCACCAAATGTCCAACTTTGCAGAAAATTGGCAGCTGCAACCCGTCTCTCTTTGCCTCTGGGTCCAAGGAAGATGAAAAAGATTACTGATATGATCAGCAACAGGAACACACTTGATATAGTTCCTCCTATTATTGCGGAATATGTTGGGGGCTCTGAAAATACAGAAAAACCATTTTTCTCTGGTTAATTCAGAGACAAATGACGGCCATATTTGTACATTTTTGCGGAATTCCGCTTTACTTGTTGCAGTTCAATAAATGAACACTAAATAACCATCAGCTATTTTGAGAGAAAATTGAAATGCATTTCACAGTTGAAAGTGACCAATGCTCAACATTTTTTTCTTCTAGATTTATTTCGAGTTAAATTGGGTAGATCATTATTGGGAAACAGAGTTAACAAATCAACATCTATCTATTAAAATAAACAGACAGTAGTAAATAAAAGAAAATATTGAATAAAAATCCACACACGTGCAGATGAGAGGTTAACTTCTCTGAAGCAATTATTCTTTACCTTCTTCAAAAATGATGGTGTGTTTGGCAGGCAACAAATGTGTTCCTCCAACTACGCCAACATTGTGGTGGCTGGCCTTGCAACTGACAACCATCCTAAAGACAACTCTTTCATTACTATTGGAACGAAGCTGCTGTACACGCACAATGTGTTCGGACTTGTATGTTTTCAACCGCGAGTCGGTGTTTCTGTCCTTCCCGTTTCTGCCCATTTGCATCACTTCCACAACACTTGAGTCATTCGCGTACTTAATGACTGACCCCATTTCGAGAGGACTTGAATTTGGTCCCATGTATTGCCAGATCCATGTGAAGTGGGGTTTTGGGTGAGCCTTTTCAGCAACGCACTGGAACTTCAAGTTTAGCATCTGATAGCTGGATGTTACAACTGTTTCACTATGGTCATTGGTTTGGTTCCAAGTGTAGGAATGTCCATTCAATTCAGGCATCAATTCTACCATTGTGGTATTGGGGGAAACTGAAACAAGAACAAATCAAAAATAGTTACAGGATTATAACTAGAATTTTGATCAATTGCTCCTTTGCTCAAATACAATTTGAGCTAATGTGGAAGAAAAACATTTTCTGATTCATTTTCCAGCATGCTAATTTGACCAGTCATGTCAAATTTTATCATCCATCATTGATACAATATTTGACCAACATGGCTGTTTTAAAAAATGAAACATTGCCAATTGAAATCCTTCTATGCAAATTTTCAAAATGTTTCAAGATTCTGGGCTGAAAATGGATTCTCCCATGCATCAGCAATGCTTTCATTTAGTGCAAAAACATTGATTAGAAATACATTTTCTGAATGCAGTAAAGCATATAAATTTTAGTTTCTAATTTTATTTTTTGGTAGAAGTCAAAGGTTTTTGGCACATGAAGTTTGTCAGTGGTGATGGCTTTTGTTCTCTCAAAACCCAAATGGACTTTGAGAAGCTATGTATATGCATAGACTGAAAATTATCTGGAAAAGTGTCAAACAATGAATGATTCTGTTTAGACTGATGATAAAAAATGGTTCTACAGTCCATGGTTGCTTGATTTGCAATCATTTGTTATTTTTGCGTTCAGATCAGTCAAAATGTTCAATTTTACATATACTAGTCACGGAATCATTTAAAGAGGAACTCAAAAACTCCGTATTTTGCACTGAACCGATAACTTAGACACTTTTTACTTTGAAAATCTTACCCTCTCGAGGACTTGTATTGACAATATGAGTGTCACTTTAAACTGTCTACAATTGAAATTCAATCGCAATTACAATCAATGATGAAATTTACCTTGATATACTGAGATTTCAATTGAACTTCAAAACTTTTTAAGCTTTTAATTATAAAGAATAAATCATTTCAAATTTGCAATTTCACCCAAAGCAATGGATCAATTGAACATTGCAAGTGTTAAACCCGTTTAAGAAATTTTAATATCTCAATTGTAGTCAGCAAGTCAACTTTTACATCTTGCATTTTACCAACTTGCAAAAAAGGAAGTTGGATCAATATCCCACATTAAGTTCATAAAAAGTTGTCAGCAATATTTTGCCAAGTTTTCAAATCAAATGTTTTTTAATCACCTGAAACTGAGATATCATATCCAGTATGAGTCAGTATTTCATTCCCATTGTACAGCTCAGGCTTGCATTTCCATCTTCCCTCATGGTCCAAGGTTGTCTTCAAAACTTTGATGTGGCAACTTGTTCTCCTCTCAACAAAGCTGCCCACATTTGACTTCACAACAGAGTTTGTCAGAGTATGTATATTTTTGCACTGCTCTTTTTCAGTGTCATGGAAGCAAATTTTCACAGTATTGCCAGATGGTTGGATTAGTTCCCAGGCACAGCCATCCTGTATACCATCATGGAGAATTGGCAAGTCTGTCCTGCACAATAATTCAAATGATTGTCCTTCTGGTATGGGTAGATCAGGATACTTGTCAGACTTCAAAGGCTTCAATACAGCACCACACATGTTTGGCTGTGAACAATCTGAAAACAAGTTTGACAGGTTTCCCACCAGGATTTAAACTTTCAACAGTGTTTTTTAATGGAGAAAAGCTTTAATTAAATCCTCTCATTTTTGCTGGAATGATTCTTCATAATAGAGTTCACCCCAAAGTGGAATTCTCATTTAATTTTAGCTGCTGAGATGGTCAATAAAAGATATTCATTCCTTCTGGTTGGACTTTTGTCTGAGAAGTTATTCAAATATCTTCATTTTGGTGGGTGAAAAAAAAATCATGGAGGGTCTGTATTTGAAGCCAGGAACAAATTTTACCTCTCATGAAAGAAACTGCTGGAGAAAATACTGAAAAACATTTGAACAAAAATGTTTCATTTAAATGACCAGAATGATGAAAATTCTTCTACCTTTTGATTGCCTTCTTCCAAATTTTCAACAGTAACATTCTTAGATCACCAAATTATTTTTGAGTAGGGTGAGGATGAGTAAACAAATAAGTTTGGAGATGGAGAATTTTTATGAAATCTAGTTAATCTTCAGGCGTACATGGACATAACAGAATGTTTAATTTCAAGTTACCTAGAAAAAAATAGCTACAGGGTATTTTCAATTTTGGACTAAATGAAACTTACTGTACTGATAGACGTCTGCGGCCAATGCTGCAGAATCTGGGAAGTTTGCTACTTGGACAATGCATTCAACATTGTTCACTTGTCGAAGTTCCTGATCAGATTTTGAAATGGTCCATTCGTAGTCACTCAAAAGCCCCTTCTTGTCATTTGGTTCCACTGAAGTGGTTGGCGACGGCATGGACTTTATTTCTCCTTGTCTTATTGAAGATATTTCAAAAGTCTCCTTTGTAGTTTTAGCTGCAATACAAAATTGAAGGATAAACTCGGAGGAAATTCACAATGACGTAATTAGTTGCAAATAATTTATCTATAAAACACCAAGCAAACTCACAGAATCTAAACATCATTTTTGAAGGAGCAGGAAAAACTTGATGGATTGAACATGATAAAGATAAAGTGTCTCCTTGCGCATAGAAAATCTGTCCAGGACAATTGATACTGCCATTATTGACCTGATGCACTTGTCCAACATTGCACACATCTTGCCAAGGCAAAATTCCAAGTTTGAATTTTATTGTGGGAAAATGTGGATTTGGTCTTTGAGGTTCTTCACAATCAAATTCATCCGCGGTCTTGATGGGATAATAGTTGGGCATGCAAGTGCATTTCCTCTGCTGGTATCCTGCCTTCTCACAGTTTGAGTTGCGTCCACAAGGATTAGCTTCACAAACAGGAAGACATGCGAGTTGCCTGGAGAAAGTATATATTTCTTCATTATAGTCCTGGAAATTATTGCAAATTTTCGTACATTTTGAAGTACACTAATTATTCTTCAAGGTTGATCATTATTGGATCCACATATGGTATATTGTTTTCAGTCCCCACAATAATAAACAGTAATTTTCTTCATGCAAAAACAGAGAAAATACCTGATAAGCCAGGTAAGGTGAGTGAGGAGGATCTTGAAGAAATTGGGTTATACTTTTTCAAAACAGAACATTTTAAAAATCCACTTTTAACATTCTTGCACCCTGAGTATACTAAAACACTACATAAACTACACCATCTCAGCAGGGACAGCATTTTCGTGGGAATGAAAAATGACAGAACTTTTGCTGAAACCAATGTTGGATTCAAGCACACACATTTTGAGAAGTCTTGATATTCCTATTCTCCTAAGAGAATCAAATTAATTGTTTCCAGCTACGCATTAATTTTAGTTTAACCACTCAATGGACACGGAAAGAAAACCAATATTTAAAAAATATTGACATACGGTTTGCTCACCCAGATGACGCCTTATGGCACACTTCCTCAAGACGACAGTTTGCATTATTTCCCCAGCATTTCTTGAAACACGATTTTCCTGAACCAATATGAGATGAATTCATTGCCGTAGAAAGCACATGCTCAACAAAATTGGCCTCGCATTTGCATTCAATCGTATGATTTTTTGACCCAGGAGAGCAAATAGAATTTTCTGGGCATGTGAATTCTGGGTTTTGGATTTCGTTGGAACAGACTCCCAAACACTTTTTGTTTTTTTCCTCTTTTGACTCTTGACATGTTTGTGTAGACTCGCATTGATCATTTTTTGTGCAGCCTAAAAAAACATGTACAAATATCATGAAATTGAAAGATATGTTTCACTTCTATAAAAGCAAGAAATACTCACCCTTGACATTCAGTTGAATGAATATTTCCATCGGTCGATAAGGAGAATAATAATTGTAAGAAGGATGCTGGAGTTTCAATTCCAACAGTTTTCCATTATGGCTGAAATCGGGTCTGATTGTCCAATTTGTGCTCCAAATATTTTTCTGATAGTTGAAGTCTAAATTTCCATCTGTTTGCAATGGTATTGCTTCTCCAACGCCTGTTAAGGAATCGACAATTTATTTACATATCTACTTCAATATGGATTCAGTCGTTTTCTTAATTGAGGTTAGAGGTTCAATTTTTGAATAAAATTTTGACTCGCCTATGAATGGCACATTTTTATGTCTCCATATTTTTGTCTTAAATCCGACCTTTATTCAAAGAAAGTATGGGTTCTTTGTGGGATTAATAATGAAATTTTTGATTTTTGCAGATTTATTGTCATCCTAGTCTCAAAGATCATTATAATGCTTCACAGAGTACCCTTAATAAAATGAAAACTATTTTATTTGCATAAGTAGCACATTCAGTCTTATCCGCGGGTTCAGAAAATGGTCAGAAAATAAGGTTCAGAAAATGGTCTAATCTGGAATTTTTTCCAAGTCACTCATGATAATGAAAAAAGTTCTGCACCACAAGAAAAACTCCAAAGATTCTCGGAACTTCAATCCAATCATCAAATTTGTTTTTGTACAGTACTTCCTTTTGTATAATGAATTTGGATTTTCTCAAGCTGCTTTAGTTAGCCATATAAATAGTAAAAAATCTTTAGAACCATTTCAACTTACAGTATTTTGGTCAAGCAATCCCCAATCACAAACGTATAACCCAAATAATGCTGCTTTTTACAGTATACCATGGATTGGATCTTGGAGAAGATTGCAAACACTGATTTTTTTCAAACATTTGAAAAAAATGTTTCAATGCATCACATGCTGCTTTTTATTAGTGACCAAAAATTTAAATATTTGGATAAAGTGGTTATTTAATCAATCTTTGGATTGCATGAGTTTTGGATTAATTTCTGCACAATTGAGTCCAATGCATTTCTTCTCTGTCTGGTTTATATATATTTCCCCAGCAGATGTAAATATTTTTTGCAATAATTCAAGAAGATATTCTGAAAAATGTTGAGCACACATCTGTAAGACACACCCCATTTTCTCCTCGTTCTTTTGTCGGAAAACTGGCTGAATTTTGTGCAAGCCAATTCTGTATTCAGATTTCAAATAAGATACCCATTGCCTAGATGGAATTTGCAGAATGAAAACTTACGGTGAGTGATCAATTTGCTGGCATTCTGGTTCAATGCAGTCAAGTTAGGAGCAGGAAATGCATCTTGAAGCCATACAGACAGAAAAGCCGGCACATTTCCAGGAATGCTGCTCTGGAGAGAACATTGCAAAATATTTTGTGCCCCTCTTTTTTTGCATGTCAAATCCTTCCCACTGATTTGAATGGACGGACTGTTTGTAGGGCTTTTAAGAGGAAAGCAAGCAGTTTCATTGTGTTGGTAGTTGTCTCTAGTGCAGTCGCACGATCGCTTTCCTGCACCCAAGTGATTGCACTTTGTGTATTTTTGGCATGGGTAAGACTTACAAGTATCCCGGCATCTGAAAAAGATTTGGATGAAAACTTAATTTTCCTTTTTTATGGGCGAAGATTCTCAATTTGAAAAGATGTGACACATTTTTAACCCTGAACAATATGCGCATTCCAAGCTTGAGCTGAAACTGTAACTCAGATTTAATCAGAACTTACAAAAACTATGAAACACGTAAAAAAAAAACAATGGGATGAATCTTAGGGATTGTAAAAGGTTAAGAATTCCATTTACCCTATAATTTTAAAGAAAAAGCTTAACCATTATAGGAGGGAAATACATGATAAAAAACAGGAGTTTTGAAAAAATATCTCGAGAGGAAATACTGTATGCGGGTTTCAGGCATTCTGCCATGCAGAAAATACCGTAATGTTTTTTTGCCCACGGAAAAGTGCACTTCACATAATCATGGAGTGACATCTGTAACAAAAATTTCCTTTTTTTTACTTGTCTTCAAAGCATGTCTCCTTTTCCTGTAGATCGCATTCTTCGCTGGATTTGCAGGTTTTTATGCACTTTGATTGTCCATTTTCGGCGTTTTCCATGAGGTATTTGACCTTACAAACGCACTCGGCAGTATGTGGAATCTTGACTTGACAATCAGAATTTGGTGGGCACTTAATTCTTGACTTGACGTTTTGACATGCATCAACACACTCCTGGTTGGAACAAACTTCCTGGCTTGTGCAATTCTCTTCAGAAAAACAACCTGGAAATCAGAATTTTAACGGAATGATGATTAAATATGCCATTCACTGTACAGTATCTTCATCCAGTTTTGTTAATTTCGTTACAGCCACTTTTTTCAGCACAAAATTTGAAACTTTTTCTTAATTTAAAAAAACCACTTGTCTTATTTATCAGAAGCACAGGAAAAACTACCGTATATGGTTTGAGCGCTGTCTTGATATACTGTACCTATAATTTTACAAAATCTTCAATAATCAATAAACAGGTCTTTCCCACATCTTTATCCGGTATATTGTATTTTAAACATTTTCTTCAGTAATTTTGAAAAATTTCCAAAGTTTTGAATTTGTGGAAGCATCTTCATTTGCTTATGCATGCACATTTGACTTATCCAGTAGCGCAATAAATTTGCGCTGTTTTAACTGCTGGTTTACATTGATAGAATTCCAATACAGTATTTTCAAATCTGAAAAAAATCTGCAATAGTATTCACAACTTGAATAATCTCATTGAGAGGCCTTGAAATTTTCTACAAGAATTTTTTTTTTAGAAAACCTTGACGTTAGACTCACCAACATTTCTGATCTTCACTTGCTGATCGACATTCAACTGCTGATGTTGAATGATGCACATAAAAGTTGCTAGATTCAAACTCACATTTGACAGGAACACCGTTGAAACATCAGTGTCAACAAGATAATTTGGATTGCTATTTGTATCCATCGTTTGTTGCGTTTCATTTGTCCGAAGTACGTGTTGTCCTCCTCGGGTTTCTTTTGAAACAAATGAAAAAATAAGATTCACTGTACTTGTTTTTAGTTTTGGATTATTTGAGATTACATTGAACATACATCCATTACTATATATATATATTCTATATATTCATACATCCATTACTATATATGCTATTGACAAAATTATTTAGTTTGATGGAAGTTCTCAAAATTTCTGCACTCATCTTAATAGCACCATTTACTCAGTTGTCAAATGTGATTCTAATAAAATTCAGGATTATCATTTGATTAAAGATTTATCATACATTGATTGATAAATACTCATGATGATCTTGCTTCATGTATGTAATCCAAAAATGTCAGCATTCTTCATCAATTAAAAAGCTGCCGGATTCTTTCTTTTTCAATAATCAGAATGATTTTGAACATTTAATCTGCATTTATCATTCATGGAAGTAAACTCTTGGCAAATGTTAAATGGGCTTGATAATTGTGTTGCAATTTTGCAGAAATCCTATACTAGCTCAACATGGAAACCCAACAAATTTAGGACAGTGACAAAAACAATTTCAAATCCCCACCTCAACATGTTGAAACCTTGTTTATGTGATACTGCTGTACTGTACAGGTGGTACCTTGTAATTCGAATTTGACTGTTCCGCAATTTGATGGTCGAATTTGCAGGGAGGTTGACTTGCAATTTGACCCTTGCCCTGCAATTTGACCTGCTTTGGCCACT